CCCCCTTGCTTTTTGAATTTTTCGTTTTCCCGCCACGTTTTTCTACGGTTCAGAAGGGAAGCGAAAGAGTGGCACGCCTTGGTAGCATGGAGTGGGCCTGGGCCTGGGCTTCTCAGGATGTATTTTATTGGGTTGAGGTAGTGGGCTTGATTTTCTGTAAACCATAAATATTGGGCGCAGATTAGCAGGGATTTTGTTTGGCGGGCTGGACTTGCTCTCTGGGCCCGTAAGCCTGTCAGATGGACTTTTTTTTGTTTTTTGCTACCTTCTTAGGGTAGATCGTTTGATGATCAGCAGCTGCCTACCTTATTCATGTTGGGAAATTTTTACATTAATTTTGGATATTTGTGATTGAGAGATAATATTGATTTAAAATCAAATTTCATCATTACCGAAGAGTTTGCACTAAATTTAGGCTAAAAGGACATTTTTTTGTCCCTATATTTGGGCTCCATATTCAAGTTGGTCCATATACTTATTTTTTTTCTCAACTTAGTCATCGTATCACACCTCATTTATAAACTAAGTCCTTCTTAACATTAGTTAAATTCTAGGTGTTAAATTTTTCGTTAAGGACCATATTACCCTCAATTTAATCTATTGTCAAACAACACCTTAGTTTTTACGTTTCTCATGAGCCTCCTTTTTTTTCGTATGCAATCTTTTATTTCTCATAATTCTTTTCTTTGTTAATAACAACAACATTGATCTATCCTCCTTTTTTAATTTGTATGTAATCTTTTATTTCTCATAATTGTTTTCTTTGTTAACAACAATAACATTGATCTATCCGTTTACTAAATATAAAGTAAAGGCTTAATGTATTGGGACATTACAACAACGGGTTTGGCTTACAAACTGCAATGACAAATCATATAGAAAATATATTTCTACCTTCCACTCATTTCTCTCTTACTTTTCAATTTAAACTCCGACTTAAAATTTGATTAATTAATTAATTAATTAATTAATTATCTATTAACTACTTTAAGGCTAAATTTTAGAAAACACCTTAACTTTTCGAGGATTATTAGGTAACACCCTCGTAACTTTCAAAATATCAAAGACCCCCTTAAATTGGGGGTTATAAGATTTATTCAGAATCTCCCCCCTTCCCCACCCCTCCTCAAAAAAAAAGAGCGCGCACACCCCTAAATGCATGAAGCATAATTCTCACTTGCAAAACTATCCTCCTACGTAATATTGCTCACCCAAGTAAATTTTGTGTTTTAACGTTGTTATAGGGGTTTTGTGATAAAATCTTAAATTTAGAAGTGATTTTTTTTATAACCCCTAAACTTAAGGTGGTTTATGATATTTTGAATGCCATGGGCAGTTATCTGATAATTACCCAGAGTTAAGGAGAAATTTCCAAAATTTAAGCTATTTTTAAACTCTAAATCTATTGTATTCTTTTTGGGTCCAAAGCAAACAGAAAATGTATCGTATGTAATTGTAGGTCTACTTGACCAAGAAAAACGATCGCCATGAGAGAGAGAGGGAGGGAGAGAGAGAGAGAGAGAGAGAGAGAGAGAGAGAGAGAGAGAGAGAGAGAGGAAAAAATAAGTTTTATATTCTTTTTAAAAGAAAAAAAAATCAAGTTAACTTCAGTTTCATTCAAGACTCTCTAATCTAAAGATTTATCTATTGGTTAATCTGTTACAAAAAGATACTAAACATCTGCATGAGTGCAATAATTTTATTTGCAAAAAAGAGGTGAAGGCATCATTACATGTTTATTCGGTAGGCCAAGAAAGAGAACCAAATGATGGCCGCTTGCGTTGCCTGGCCCCATCAGCCGTACTGCCACGTACTACACATTTGGCATTCCCGCCCCGGCCCCCCAATATTGGTACATAAAAAATATAAATTTCAATTATAATTGTAACATCCATTTTTCTTTTGGATAATAAAGTTTTAAATGATATCAAAGCGATATACACTCAAAATATCATGGGAATTTAGATAGTGGGTTTTTGTAACTCTACAAAACTAGTTTAGTGAATACAAACTTAGCCTAAAAACTAAGGGCGTGTTTTGCAACTTCAAAAAAAGATTAGGTCAAAGTCTATTTTTCTTCTAACTAGCCTAAAATTAGCCCAAGTAAAGGTTGGTTCAAAAAAAAAAAACTAGTTTAAAGCTCAAAATTTGAATTTAAGAAGACTAATTCAACTTTGGCCCAATTGCTGCTAAACAAAAAACTAACTTTTGGATACCACACTAAAACTAATTTGATGGAATTGCCAAACACACCCTGCTGAAATGGTGTGTTCGGCAACTCATTGAATTTGGGTCACATTTGATTTTTTTTTTAAACTAGTTCTGGGCTGAATTGATTTAGTTGACTAAAGTAGTCTAAATGTCTAAAAATTAAACTAAAGACAATTGAGTCATTTTAACTCCAGTTTTATGAATAGAATAATATACTAGGGGTTTTGCACCAAACTGGCAAAACAGTTCTTACTATAAAAAATATTAAAACTTTCAAATCATACTCCCTTTAAAAGTATGAGTTCGAGAAAAACTTTACATGGTCAATATTATCATTTACTATTTTAAATATTTTATTTAATCTTAATATATCCTGATCCTAAGTATATCCTATATTAATTCCATATAAACTACCTATAGCTTAGCAAGTAAAAAAAGATTAATGAAATACATGAAACGACTATTTAAAAAAATAAGATTAATAAAATACATGAAATAGCTCTATGATATTAGTAAAAAAAAAGATTAATAAAATACATGAAATAGCGCTATTAGTTTGTTAGGTAAAGAAATCATACATAGCTAACATACTACATATGAAGTACTAAAAAACCAAAAAAACTTTAAAATTTACACAAAATACCCTCAAAGTTCAAAAGTACAAGAAACACCCTAAATTTTCAAAACTTAAAATAACAAATATGAAATTTAAAAATTAAAAGTAGTGCTTGAAAAATTTAAAATTTTCAATTAACACCCTCAATGTTTCAAAAATTATAGAAACTCCTTTAAAAGTTCAAATCATATAAAAGCACCTTAAATTTTTGATATTTTAAAACTTATAAACAATATATATGAATTCAAGGAATTATCATTAGGCACCTGAAAAATTAAAATTGTAAATATAACATGAATTGCAAAAAGTATAAAAAAACTCCCTCAAAAGTTATAAATTGCAAAAAAATTTAGAATTTCAAAAAGCACAGTACATATCAAATCTAGAAATAATCAGCAGACCACTAAAAATTTGAATTTTGCAAAAGGCAACCTAAACTCTCATTAATTATAAAAAACACTCTCAAAATTTCAGAGATGCAAGAAGTATTCTAATATTTAAAAACTTACCACCAATACATGAAACATAAATATTACTAGCACCCAACTTAAAATTTAAATTTTTTAAGAAATACTCTCAAAATTTTGAAAAGTGTAGAACACACACACAAAACTTCAAAATCACAAAAAGGACCAAAATTTCAAAACATTTAAAAAAAAGGTAAGTGTTTTGATATTCTTTCATTAAGATGTGTAAATTTACTTTCAATTTAATGTTTACTATCCCTTTTCAGCATCTAATAGTAGTCTACGTTGATGAGGTGTAAATTTACTTTCAATTTAATGTTTACTATCCCTTTTCAGCATCTAATAGTAGTCTACGTTGATGATGGTAAAAAAATCAATAAATTAAAAATATCTAATTAAGCAATAAAATTTTAAAAAACATATGATAGATTAAAAATTAATGTCATTGTATAAATTAAAGTAACTGCATATAATTTTGCTAATAAGTTAGAACAACAAAAATATATAAGTAACATTAATTTATAAAAGACTACTGAAAAATAACATCACAAGAAATCCAGCTCCAGCCCGATGTCATAAATGTAGACGATGAAGACACTGCTCTAGGATTGCCTAGTAAAAAGATAAAGGTAGAGAAGGATTGATCTCGGGTCAATAAAAAAATAAAATAGAAGGAATAAAGGATAATATTTTCTAAATATTTTATAGAATACTTTATTTTTTGAGTAAGAATATTACGAAACTTTAGAAGGGATTTTTGTTAAAAAAAATTTAGGACTTTTATATGTTTATATATAGATGTTTTAATTATATAAAAGTAAAGTAGAGTTAACATTAATTTATGATATTTTATGAAGTCTATCAATAAATAGGAACAAAGTCCATATTATCTTTTCTGTCATTTTAGCCCACTCTTAATCAATCATCTTGGCTTCTAATGCTATTTTTATGTGTTTTTTTAACTTTTGTAACGCTATACTTTCTCAGGTCAAGCTTGATTTCATGTCAGTCCAAATAGTATAAAAATTTAAATTGACTTCAGATTATATTTGGTTTATGTTAATTCAATTGTCAACATGAAAATTTAAATTGGGTGTAGCCCATTTAGACAAAGATAAAAAAATCACAACGTTAAAGTTTAGAGACATAAACGACAAAAAACTATCAAAGTAGAACCGAGTGATAACTTTTAGTAATAAGGAAATACAACTAAAAGTACTTAATTATGATATTTAACCATGTGCATTACACGTGCACAAAACCTAATATCATGAAAAATATCACATGCTATTAGGACATTATCCTAATCACAACGATTATAACCTTGACGAAAAAGCTATTACTATGTCTATAGTCCATGGGAAAGAAGTTATATAAATAAAGACTGAAAGCGCTCAAAATAAGCCACGTGTATATGCGTGACTAATTTAGATGTCAATCATGACAATTTAGTGAAAATGTTTGGGGACAAAATGTGTCTAGGCCCCAAAAACAGAAACTTCATGTGACGAGGCCCCTTGTATTTTCCCACATGTGGATAAGCCTTAAAAAACAGCGTTTAATATTTCCATGGCCCTCCACGTCAATGGTATACAAAAGAGCAATTGTATTTTATAAAAAACCCGAGTTTGCCCTTCTCCTTCGTCCCCAGCCGCTTCGTCCCCAGACGCTTCGTCACAT